CTTTCTGGTCTACGCCTCTCTGCATCCTCAACATTAATGTAGTGTTCGTTAGCCCCCGTGGACAAGGGAGAGACTCCGCTGGCCTCTCCCGATCCTCACCCGCAAAAATACCATTGTGCTCGTGATGAACATGTTTACGCTTGCCTTTCTTCACTTCGCTTCCGGTCGTGATATCACTTGGGTACCGTGTTTTCGCTCCCCTCCCAGTTCCAAGGACCAGGGAAGAAATGAGCCCCACGTGTCCTCGTCCGGCGTGGGAAAGAAGAGGGAAGCTATCCGGCCCCCGACGCTCACGGGTCCACTCGCTGTGTCAGGCATCAACGTATCCAGTTACCGCGCACTGAGCTGGCTTGTGCCAAAACATTCGGCTCACGAGCCAGGAGGGCTTAGGCTTACTGCTACCCCTGTGCTCCAAAACCTGTCCGTCGCACGAGCTAGGTTTGGGAGCAGCTCGCCTGAGAATCCCTTCGACTCACCACCCGTGCAATCAAATCCGTGACCCATTCGTTGGCCCACCGAACGACTGTCATCTTTGCGGGATCCCCAAGTGCGGCACCATCGTTTCCAACTTTTTCAGTAGAACCAAAACCGCGGTAAAACTTTCGGTGCCCTGGTGTAAAAAAATTCCCCAACGCGTTTGATCTCCGACAGGATGTCGTTCAGATCTGTGGATTAGAGGGTCGTCCAAGTCGTTCCTAGCGGCCTCGTTGATTGACGGTCTCATGCCCGGTGGATTTGACGTCCGACTCACCATTCTTTCCCCCGACTTCCGCCGTGTCGCGTACGCTGTGGGATTGTTTGGGTTTTCTTTTCGACACCTGCTTCGCGCAATACCAAATCTCTCGGCGGGTGGGGACCAGGCCTTTCCCCTAGGTTCCAATGCCGGAGCGTCGTAGCAGTGCAAAGGGAGGCCGTCAGTCACGGTGCATCCCTCTCGTCTCGGTGGACCGGCTTCCGACCATGTGTAGATTTTTTACAAGCACGTTCACCACGGGACGGAAGCAAGGGAGTCGTATCGGGAATTTGTGTCGGCTACTCGTGAGGTGTAAACTACCCTCGCTGCCGGGCACAGCAAAGGAGAGTTCTCATCCGTGGCCAGGGTGAGGCGTCAAATGGCTTCCCACGCGAGGAACATGGCTATTCGGAAAGAAGAATGGGATGCCTTCGGGCCGCTGAGTTCGGGTCTTTCTGGGGAAACTGTCCCAGGATCCGTGTCCCTACAACCCGAACACCGGACCACAACTTGGAGAGAAGGCTGGTTCCAACCTAGCAAGCACCCGCGGCTGTCAATTCCCCAATTCCAATGACAGCGACCTAGATGGCGCGCGGCGGCGTGAAGAAATTCGCCGCCGTCGACGACCCAAATATCCTGCCGCCTAATCACAACTGCCCCGAGGTGGACGCGTGTTCAGGATTTCAGGCTAATCTGTCAACCCGACTTTCAGGTCGCCCCCCCCCCCCTCCTCCCACGCACGCGATCCGATGCCCAGTTCCCCGAGTTTTTCACTCGAACGCTATCGGTCGGTGGTAAACAAATGACCTCAAACCGAGGCATGCACGCTCTGCGGAGGGCTGCCGTTCCCTTTCGACGTATCAACGCAATTGCGACGAGGTTCTCATCCATCGTACAGTCCTGTGGCGTCCGTTTCTGGGGTTCCAGTGCTCGTGCTGCAGACGGCGAGGAAGAGAGACGGCGACTGCCCGGTTCCTTTTTCAGGATTTATCAACGAAATAACCGCGCCTCGGCTGCTGCTCCACGGTTGGCAGGTGCTGCTCCAAGAGGGTAACAGCAGAAAGGCTGCATTCTGCTAACGTCAGGCTGCACTTCACGGTTGGGCCGTCATTCGTGAGATGCAGGTTCGTCGCGATTAGCATTGTAGATGCCATCGTCCTCTTTTTTCTTCCCGGTCACATAGCGAGGGCTAGCGAGCCTGGATTTCGCCGCCGCACCCGCATGCGGAGGGCTGAAACCTCGCGGCACCGAGTGGCGGAAATCTGCCACCGGCACCAAGAGTCGACTTCTCCTTAACAACCCGAAATCAAGACCATTGCTTCCTGAGACCTATTAATCATCGGAGCTGCCAGCTCCTAAACCGCCGCCCGCCCTTATGACCATGCATCCAATTGCCGGTCACTTAATGCTCTGGTTGGGCCTGCGCTCCCTCGGCGGTCCCCATATAACTCCACCCAAGCGCTCCCGTCATGTCCAGCACATTCCCTCTCATCCCAAGCTTTTCCTCACACTCGAACCGTATCCAGAACACACATCTTGACCTCTTCCCTTTCTGGTACCATGGCCACGAAGACTCAAGCCATTGCAGCATTCCTGCTCTTCAATTTAATGTTCTGCACATTCGCCTCTGGGCAACTGCTGAGCCTTCCTGTTCTTAAGTGCGTCTCGAAGACCCTGGAACTAATCACCTGTGGCGTCGTGCTCAACCTCATCAAAATTGGGGGACTCACGGAGCCCCTCAACGCCACCTGTTGCGCTCTGTTCTCGGCTCTGACGGGTGACCAGGCGGCCCAATGCCTCTGCGCCGCGATAAAGATTAATCTGCTTGGTCTGAACGTCAGTGTCCCTGGTGACATTGGTCTGATACTGACTTCCTGCGGCAAGCCGGTGCCTGTCCTGTCTTGCCCCTAAGTTCCGGCGGCAGATCCACACCGGAGAAGTCTCCCCTTTAACCTGAGTTGCCCTGTGAAGTTTTCCTGCCGTGGTTTCTTTCTGGTCTACGCCTCTCTGCATCCTCAACATTAATGTAGTGTTCGTTAGCCCCCGTGGACAAGGGAGAGACTCCGCTGGCCTCTCCCGATCCTCACCCGCAAAAATACCATTGTGCTCGTGATGAACATGTTTACGCTTGCCTTTCTTCACTTCGCTTCCGGTCGTGATATCACTTGGGTACCGTGTTTTCGCTCCCCTCCCAGCTCCGAGGACCAGGGAAGAAATGAGCCCCACGTGTCCTCGTCCGGCGTGGGAAAGAAGAGGGAAGCTATCCGGCCCCCGACGCTCACGGGTCCACTCGCTGTGTCAGGCATCAACGTATCCAGCTACCGCGCACTGAGCTGGCTTGTGCCAAAACTTTCGGCTCACGAGCCCGGAGGGCCTAGTAGGCTTACTGCTACCCCTGTGCTCCGGAACCTGTCCGTCGCACGAGCTAGGCTTGGGGGCAGCTCGCCTGAGAATCCCTTCGACTCGTCACCCATGCAATCAATCCGCGACCCATTCATTGGCCCACCGAACGACTGTCGTCTTTGCAGGATCCCCAAGTGCGGCACCATCGTTTCCAACTTTTTCAGTAGAACCAAAACCGCGGTAAAACTTTCGCTGCCCTGGTGTAAAAAATTTCCCCGACGCGTTCGATCTCTGACAGGATTAGAGGGTCGTCCAAGTCGTTCCTAGCGGCCTCGTTGATTGACGGTCTCGTGCCCGGTGGATTCGACGTCCGACTCCCCATTCTTTCCCCCGACTTCCGCCGTGTCGCGTACGCTGTGGGATCGTTTGGGTTTCTTTCCGACACCTGCTTCGCGCAAGACCAAATCTCTCGGTGGGTGGGGACCAGGCCTTTCCCCTAGGTTCCAATGCCGGAGCGTCGTAGCAGTGCAAAGGGAAGCCGTCAGTCGCGATGCATCCCTCCTCCGGTCTCGGTGGACCGACTTCCGACCATGCGTAGATTTTTTACAAGCACGTTCACCACGGGACGGAAGCAAGGGAGTCGTACCGGGAATTAGTGTCGGCTACTCGTGAGGCGTAAACTACCCTCGCTGCCGGGCACGGCAAAGGAGAGTTCTCATCCGCGGCCAGGGTGAGGCGTCAAACGGCTTCCCACGCGAGGAACATGGCTATTCGGAAGGAAGAATGGGACGCCTTCGGGCCGCTGAGTTCGGGTCTTTCTGGGGAAACTGTACCAGGATCCGTGTCCCTACAACCCGAACACCGGACCACAACTTGGAGAGAAGGCTGGTTCCAACCCAGCAAGCACCCGCGGCTGTCAGTTTCCCAATTCCAACGACAGCGACCAAGATGGCGCGCGGCGGCGTGAAGAAATTCGCCGCCGTCGACGACCCAAATATCCTGCCGCCTAATCACAACTGCCCCGAGGTGGACGCGTGTTCAGGATTTCAGGCTAATCTGTCAACCCGACTTTCAGGTCGCCCCCCCCCCCCCTCCTCCCACGCACGCGATCCGATGCCCAGTTCCCCGAGTTTTTCACTCGAACGCTATCGGTCGGTGGTAAACAAATGACCTCAAACCGAGGCATGCACGCTCTGCGGAGGGCTGCCGTTCCCTTTCGACGTATCAACGCAATTGCGACGAGGTTCTCATCCATCGTACAGTCCTGTGGCGTCCGTTTCTGGGGTTCCAGTGCTCGTGCTGCAGACGGCGAGGAAGAGAGACGGCGACTGCCCGGTTCCTTTTTCAGGATTTATCAACGAAATAACCGCGCCTCGGCTGCTGCTCCACGGTTGGCAGGTGCTGCTCCAAGAGGGTAACAGCAGAAAGGCTGCATTCTGCTAACGTCAGGCTGCACTTCACGGTTGGGCCGTCATTCGTGAGATGCAGGTTCGTCGCGATTAGCATTGTAGATGCCATCGTCCTCTTTTTTCTTCCCGGTCACATAGCGAGGGCTAGCGAGCCTGGATTTCGCCGCCGCACCCGCATGCGGAGGGCTGAAACCTCGCGGCACCGAGTGGCGGAAATCTGCCACCGGCACCAAGAGTCGACTTCTCCTTAACAACCCGAAATCAAGACCATTGCTTCCTGAGACCTATTAATCATCGGAGCTGCCAGCTCCTAAACCGCCGCCCGCCCTTATGACCATGCATCCAATTGCCGGTCACTTAATGCTCTGGTTGGGCCTGCGCTCCCTCGGCGGTCCCCATATAACTCCACCCAAGCGTTCCCGTCATGTCCAGCACATTCCCTCTCGTCCCAAGCTTTTCCTCACACTCGAACCGTATCCAGAACACACATCTTGACCTCTTCCCTTTCTGGTACCATGGCCACGAAGACTCAAGCCATTGCAGCATTCCTGCTCTTCAATTTAATGTTCTGCACATTCGCCTCTGGGCAACTGCTGAGCCTTCCTGTTCTTAAGTGCGTCTCGAAGACCCTGGAACTAATCACCTGTGGCGTCGTGCTCAACCTCATCAAAATTGGGGGACTCACGGAGCCCCTCAACGCCACCTGTTGCGCTCTGTTCTCGGCTCTGACGGGTGACCAGGCGGCCCAATGCCTCTGCGCCGCGATCAAGATTAATCTGCTTGGTCTGAACGTCAGCGTCCCTGGTGACATTGGTCTGATACTGACTTCCTGCGGCAAGCCGGTGCCTGTCCTGTCTTGCCCCTAAGTTCCGGCGGCAGATCCACACCGGAGAAGTCTCCCCTTTAACCTGAGTTGCCCTGTGAAGTTTTCCTGCCGTGGTTTCTTTCTGGTCTACGCCTCTCTGCATCCTCAACATTAATGTAGTGTTCGTTAGCCCCCGTGGACAAGGGAGGGACTCCGCTGGCCTCTCCCGATCCTCACCCGCAAAAATACCATTGTGCTCGTGATGAACATGTTTACGCTTGCCTCTCTTCACTTCGCTTCCGGTCGTGATATCACTTGGGTACCGTGTTTTCGCGCCCCTCCCAGCTCCGAGGACCAGGGAAGAAATGAGCCCCACGTGTCCTCGTCCGGCGTGGGAAAGAAGAGGGAAGCTATCCGGCCCCCGACGCTCACGGGTCCCCTCGCTGTGTCAGGCATCAACGTATCCAGTTACCGCGCACTGAGCTGGCTTGTGCCAAAACATTCGGCTCACGAGCCAGGAGGGCTTAGGCTTACTGCTACCCCTGTGCTCCGAAACCTGTCCGTCGCACGAGCTAGGTTTGGGAGCAGCTCGCCTGAGAATCCCTTCGACTCACCACCCGTGCAATCAAATCCGTGACCCATTCGTTGGCCCACCGAACGACTGTCATCTTTGCGGGATCCCCAAGTGCGGCACCATCGTTTCCAACTTTTTCAGTAGAACCAAAACCGTGGTAAAACTTTCGGTGCCCTGGTGTAAAAAAATTCCCCAATGCGTTCGATCTCTGACAGGATGTGATTCAAATCTTTGTGCTTTTCTTCACACTCGAACCGTATGTAGAACACACATCTTGACCTTTTCCTTTTGTAGTACCATGGCCACGAAGACTCAAGTCATTGCAGCATTCCTACTTTATAAGTGTTCATTATCATGAGTTAATATTTAGTAAATAATATAGTTTTAGCCTTAACTCATGATAAGTAAACTTATATTTTTGTTAAAGTGAAAAGTGGTTTTCAATTTATTAACGTGAATTTTTGGGTAATTATGTAATTTTTTATGATTTTTATAGTTTTACTTTTGAGAGATATGAAGAATAAGATATAAAAATAAAAATATTACAAAATAGGGGGACCCACCGGCCACATGAGCCCACAAGCGGGTCGGAAGCACAGTCGGGGAGTAGCCGCAAGCAAGGGCTTGAGTAGCTTGAACTAATGGGGGCACGTGTGCACCACTCCCCTTCCATGTCACTAGTGGCCAGCCGGCTATGGGGCAAGGAGTGGTCGTACATGTGCGAGAGGGACTTTGCTTAGGAATGTAACATTACTATATATTCGTTGGAAAATTTGGTGCACAACTGATGTGGGACTAAATCTGTCACCTTCCTTAGAAGAGGTGGGGCCAACCGGCACGGGTTCAAATCCTTCCAAAGCCAAAATTGATATTTTTATATGATTATCACGACTTTCCTACAGATCGCCAGTGAAGGATTAAGCAACGAGAATCACTGGATCATCGGCGAAAATCTCGTCAACACGATTCGTAGAGTATTGTTACTCAAATTATTGAAGAATTCACGATCAATGGATCGCAAATCCATCGAGTAAATCATCTCCGATTGATCGACGAACAAGTCATCGTCGGGAAGAAGATGATCTGCTAGGAGACGAGTCGCCACCTCCTAAGAGCATACCGGATGCGATGAAGAGCCTCCTCTTGCTGCGTAGACTTGAAGATGAAGCTCCCTAACACGTGTCCCACCTCCATCCAACTCTTCTCCGTCGAGTGACAACTGTCGAAAAGCCACCAGAGATGATTCAACAACTCACTTCATTGATCTTTAGACTTCACAAAGACATCTAGAGATTGCCCATATCGTCTTTGTCCAAAGAGAGCCTTCAAGGTTGTAGACACTACATGACGATCTTCCTAAATACCCAAGATTCTAGTGCATTACCGACGCATCGCTGTCGTAATGCTGGAACTCTATTTTCCTACTTTCAACTTGCTTTACGCTTCATTTAGTGATAATTTTTGTGATTTTAATTTACCAAAATATACTTTGTTCTATTACGATTCTTCTGGCTTTTACAGATCTTAATTTGATTAATTAAATCGTATGTAATCACTTACGTAAGAATCATCAAACGGAACTTTATTTTTTCTCGATTCGTGATTCGCTTGGCGCTAATGTCATCTTGACGTCCGCACCCTTATTTCCATTTTTCATGAATTTTAAATATATTTCATTTTCATTTCCTAGTATAAAATTCATAGAAAAACATATTCATTGATAAAAATTCTGAATAATTACTAGATATTATATTACATTCCTATGATTGACTTGGAAAATTATTGCTATTTTTAGAAGTTTTATGGAATTATAATTGATATATTTATTTAAAAATACTTTTAAATAACTAAAAATTCATATTTTCTAATTTTATAAATTTTATATTTACGTGATTTAATATACAACGATGGAGTCACGTCAAATTTTGGTGCCATTATTAGGAAAGTATTGCATAATATTTAGTATTTTTTTGTTTTTCTCTTAGAGTACACAAAAAAAATTAAATCTTATTTTATTTTCTTTTTGCTGATTTTTTTTAGAAAAAGGGAATGAAAAGAAGCAAGGCAAGGATTGGAGAATCCTGAAGGAGGGTAACAATTACTAACTTTTTCCCTCAAATTTATTAATTTTTATGCATGGTAGAAGATCCTTGCATCCAAGGCTAGAAAATCCTTTCATTATTTCATTCAAATAAAAATCTGAAAGAAAAATTAATTTTGATGGATCCTGAAGGAAGTACAGGTCAAACTGAGAATAATCCTATGGCCATGAAAAATCATTATATCCTTGATTCATTTCAAAGAGCATCCAATATTAGAGTCCCATTAGCACCCACTGTTAAATTCGAAGTAAATCCAAGAATTTTTCAAATGCTCCCTAATTTTCATTAATTGCCTTTAGAGGAACCTCATCAGCACTTAGAAAAATTTCATATGATCTATGATTTAGTTAATCTCTCTCAAATTACACCGAAAATTATTAAGATGAAATTATTCCCTCATACACTTAGGGACAAAGTTAGTCATTGGCTATCCACATTAGATAGAGAATCAATTAGCTGGAAAGATATAGAACAGGCTTTTCTTTGAAAATTTTATCCCTTAGGAAAAATTCGAAATATGAGAAAATATATATAAAGTTTTTCTCAAAGACTAAGAGAAACTTTGCATGAGACATGGGAAAAATTCAAAGATTTACTTAGAAAGTGTCCTCATCATGCTATACCCAAGTGGCAGCTTAATAGAATTTTTTATGATGGATTATTAGAACAACATAGAAATATGATTGATCCTATATGTGGAGGAGCTTTTATGGAGAAAACTTCTAATGAGATTTACAGTCTTTATGAGAATTTAAGTAAAAATTCTAGAGATCAAGCCTCTTTTGAATTATATGACAAGGATAAGAAAAGAGAAATTTATGAATTACATCATGATGATGATTCTAAACTTAAAAATGAGGTTAATCAGATTAATCAAAGATTAGAAAAAATTAATTTACTTATTGACAATATTAGAAAGCCTTTTAACCCTCAACTTAATTCGAATAGTACATGTCCTATGTATGGTGAAAATGATTATTCTGAATTTCAATGTTATAATTTAGATCAATCATTACACCCTATGCAAGAACAAATGCAAGTAGCTCACGGTTTTAATAGAAACATAGAACCTTTTTCAAATTCTTATAATCTTAATTAGATGAATAATTTTTCATGGAGAGACTCAAATAATATTCAAAATTCAGAAGCACTTAGACCCAATTCAAACTCTAAATTTCGTCCAAAATAAGAAAATAGATTTCAAAAAAATCAGCCCTCTCAAATCCAACTTGATGCTATGAAAATGATGCAGCAAATGAGTCAAATGATGCAACAAACTATGAATCAAATGATACTGCACCAAAAATAAATTATAAAGGCTCTTGGAAATAAGAGAGAAGAGGGACAGCTACCTAGTCAACCCATAGAAAATCTAGAGAACTGCCCAACAATAAGATTTCAACAAGGGGAGTCTAGTAGTTTAAATCTAAGAAAAAACCCATGAAATGAAAATGTTAGGACAGTGAATGCATTAAGGAGTGGTAAGATCTTACTTGATCCTTATCCCCAAATATTAGAAGAAAAAGAAAATGTGGACAAACTAAAATGAAATCAAATAGGAGAAGAAGAGGATTTTATAGATTCTACCAAGGAAATTTCGAAAGAGAAGACGACCATTTCATTTCCTAAAGCTCTAGAGCCTAGACAAAGAAAGAAAAAGGAACACAATGAAGAAATAAAGAAAATTTTACAAGATGTACAAATTAGTCTTCCTTTACTCACTACCATTGAACATATTCCTGAATATACTAGAGTTTTGAAAGAAATGTGTATACCAAAAAAGGCACTTAGAATAGAAAAATTATCTATAAATGCTAGTGCATTATTAGTAAATCAATTATCATATAAATTGAGAGATATAAGTGCCCCTTTAATTTCGTGTGATATTGGTGGATTCATTTTTTAGAATGTATTACTTGACACTAGTGCGAATATTAATTTATTACCTATAAGTATTTGTGATAAATTTAATATTTCTAATCTTAAACCTTCTACTGCTACCTTACAATTTGCTGATAGATCCATAAAACATCCTAAAGGTATTTTAAAAAATGTGATAGTGACAGTTAAAGGGTGTAAATTTCTAGTTGATTTTGTAGTGCTAAAAATAGATTTTAATAGACAGTTTTATGATACACCAATCATCCTAGGGAGACCATTTTTGCATATAGCAAAGATGAATATTGATTTTCCCACAGGTATTGCAAAAATTTCATATGGAGATCAATTAGTAGAAATTAAAATTTTTGAGGTATCAAATGATCTTAAGAAATCCCAAGTATATGATTGTCATATCATAGATCTTCTAGATGATTTTGATGATCCAGATGTTATTGATGACTGTGTGCTGAAAGAATTAGAAGAAATAGAGAATATAAATTTAGA